ACAAACTGTTTTTACATTTATCAACCGATTTCAGTGGTTTGTATGTGGTGTACAAAAAGTTCCATCTCTAGTTATTTAAAATCTCGATAGTTAGACTTGTAAAATATTTTTTTAATAAAGAATGGTCAATTAAGCTCAGGCTTGTCATGTATCTGGCTTTTTATTCTTGGATAAGAATGGTGAAGACCCCCATACTGAGATATAATTTAAGTTTTCTTATTGTGGAAAAAGCATTTTCTGTGATTGACCAGATTTTAGCAATAACAAAGATAACTGATGGATCCTTTATAATAATACGTTATGGTTCAACTACAGTGCAATGCAAATAGTAAATATAACATAAAGTGAGAAGTAATAGTAAATAGTTTAGTCAATAAAATAAACAAATAGTATACAGCAAATAAAATAGTAATGATAAGTATAATTATATAATATCATAAGTACAATAATACAATCATAAAAATATTGATAATAGTAGTTTATTAATAATACTATAATAATAGCAATAGAATAAGAAATATCAATTACAGAATATACACAATAAAAAACAAGTTAAATAGTGACTTTAATATTTAATTCTTTTTGTTAAATTTCAGTTTTATTGATCAGTATAACAGAAGTAGCTTCAGTCAAACATACAGCAGGATACAACGTTAAAATAGCCTAAATATAAAGTTATGAAACTTCACTTTGCCCTCAGCCAAAACGATTTACCAGGGACCCATTTATAGATTAATGAGACCAAAGATCGCCCGTTAGATATACACAAGACGAATTATATCTCATGTTTAACCACTAGACTACAGACATCCGAGTCAGCGGCAACACTTCAGAAGCACTGGCCGAGGTACGGCTGTTCCAGGCGGGGTAGACGAGCGCTGAGCGCATCTTACAACTCCGAAAACGTCAGATCAAATTTTTAAATAGGCGCTATCTTTATAAACAAACCACATATTTGAGCTTTAAACAACTACATTGTCGACTGAAAAACTATTTAAACTACATTTCGTGACACAATAACAGTAGTATTTTTAAATGTATCCTCTGAACGTTACTATTACTAATTAAATCATGACCAAATACAACCAAAAACAAACGTTCAGTCTTGCTTGTGAAAGGTAATTCCTCGAAAGCTGTTTTCAATTGTGTGGCGATGTGTACAGCCCCAAACAGCGCAAAAAACAGGCATTTTTCTCAATTCCCGGTATGAGAGGTATGGGAAAGTTGCCATTCCCAACATGGCGGCGCCGTTGACGTACGCTCCAGCGGCCAATAGGGCGTCTATGTATTTATTATGTCTATGGTCGGTACGGCCTATTTCACAAGATGGCCCCCGAGACCGGAAGTAGGGTAAACTCTTTTCCGGTGAAAGCGCTAGCAGTTACAGTCGGAGGACAAATGCGGAAACTATAAGCGGTTTAGTCCTGTTGCTTACCTTTTTTTATGGTGTTTATGTCAACCCAAAGAAGAAACAACCCTATTTATCACTTCACAGCTTTCCGTGTCTTACGGGTTTTCATGGAACAACTGGGGAGACGTTAAATCACGCCAGACACAGACGGCAAAAAGACTTCTGGTCGCGCCGCCCGCCCGAATCTATTCATTTTCAAAATGGACTTTGAACAGCTTGTTTTCTCTCCCAGTCATTCATATAACGTTATCTGACAAAAGTAAGAATATCAGATGTTGTCCGTTTTGTTGATAGTTTTCAGGGAGTTGTGAAAAGATCGAAATTGGACAAATTCTTGACGTTTGCTTAGTGCTTACATAAAAAAAGTTCCATTCATTTTTGGCATGACACTTGATGACTAAGCTCACATTTAACGTTAATATATCGAAAAACAATAAATAAATAAATTGAAATGATGTCTGATTGTAGGCTATGAGTTAAATCTAGTGGCTTTTGTTAAAAAAAAAAATCATGTTATTAAGTGTTAGTCCAGGAGATTGCAGCAATCTTCCACTACTAGATTATGGCTCCTTTTTCATGTTACCATGAATGAAACTAAGAATTGTACATCTTTACAGTGAATTTGACCTAACGTTGCTAGTATGTCTAATAATGAAATTAAGGCAAATAAAAAAATATTTAGACTAAAAACATAAATGAAGTGATTGATTTTACATGTTTAAAAAAAATCATGTTACAAAATAATATTTAACTGTCTGGGGTCCCCTTATGAAAAGAAAATATTCCCTATATGAATGATCAATACATGAAATGGTTTAACAGTATATTTGAAAACATACAGAATAATATATGGTGATAATATATTACAATATATTGAATGAAACATGTCATTCAAGTCACTTTTTGCATAGAAACAAGTCATTTTCATATATTTAAAAATGTGAGAATATATTTACTAATATATAATGTAATTTTATATTCAGTAATACACTAAAATATATACAGGGATTAAAGTTATCCGTCGCTACGACGGACTTCCGTTAATATCAGGTTTCCCCCTGTCCTTATGTCTTAAATCACCCTTTTCATTATTTTAAGGCCGTAAATATGCTTATATTTCTCAAATAGTGTAATAAATGTCTTAATTTTAGTTCGAATGGGTCGGAAGGACGAGGTGTTCACCCGCTTAGGGAGATGTGATCAAAGCCTGGACTGGAGCAAAAGCCCGTTCCTATCTGCACAGAAGCGTTCTATTTTCACTCCGCTCCTGATCCACTCCGGGTTTTCCAGTCCCACTCACGGGAAAAACTGCTCCGTGTTCAAACAACTTTAAAAATGATTCCAATATGTTTATTTTTTTAAACCACAAACGTCTGAATTTATAAGACTATATGTAGCGGTTTGGAAAGTATTTTACACGTTTAATAAATGTCCCAGCTGCCCTTGCTTGCACAAGTAAACAACAGGCCTGGCATAGCGCACCCAGGTAAAAAGGAAAGAAAGTTACAGAAAACAACTTCTACAAACAATTTTAATTTGCCAACAGGTAATAATAATAAATAAAAGTGCATGACGTGCAAATCGGGTAACAATCAAGTGCAATATAAACATGTTTTGTCAGGGCATCAGTCCCGAACCGGCATCAACACTCCATTTCAACATCTGCTTCCTCCTTCACACGCGCCTGGCGTGATTTAACTTCTCCCCGGTTGTTCCATGAAAACCCGCAAAACACGAAAAGCTGTGAAGTGATCAATAGGGTTGTTTCTTCTTTGGGTTGAAACATAAAAAGGTAAGCAACCGCTTTTAGTCTCCGCATTTGTCCTCCGACTGTAACTGCTAGCGCTTTCACCGGAAAAGAGTTTACCCTACTTCCGGTCTCGGCGGCCATTTTTGGACTTAATAGGGAGTGGCCAGGCTTTCCGTAGACGGGCTTTGGATGTACTGTTTTTAACTTGAGCAAGTCCAAAAATAAGTTTTATTTGAAATGTCAGCCTTTTATGGTTTTTATATTCACCAAATTTGGGTGTTTCTGCAACTGCGGCCAGTTTTGATGGGGTGAGCTTTTCGAAAATTAACTCTCTTAAATGTACACTTTCAATAGTAACATTTGTTTATTAACAGTATCCGACAAAGTAGATGGATGCATCAAATGAAAAATTCTGGAATTCTTTTATTTCTGAAAGCCATTACCGGTAATATAATCAACTACAATGTCACAACTTCCAACGCATCTCAAATGACGTGAATTTGAGCAGTAACAATAATATGAAGGCAAAGTGAAAATAGGTTTCCAATGCTGTTTTTAATGCACATTATTTAATTTACACTCATATAACACTGTCACATGGTACCCGTTACATTTATAGTCAGATAGACACTAGTTAGGATGGACCTGAATGGCAAGACACAATGCAAGATCCTTTTTTCTGATGACAGAAAAGCAGAAAGTACCTATAATATACAGTAATCAACATTTGAAGTGGATCAAAACCTTTCATCAAAGTTATACATTGCATTTTTGAACAATACCCGTTCTTGTCTTAGGACAACTTTGATGAACTTTTTTGATCCACTTCAAATGTTGACTACTGTATATATACACACACTGAAACAGTTTGATTTAGTGGACAAAGTAGAGATAAGTGTAAGTCCGTCTAATTCGATCCAATGGCGGCATCGATTAGAGGTGAAGGTATCAACGCGCGTTCCGTCTCTTCCAATGGCAAAGGGATTTTTAATTAAATGCAATACATTCTATCTTATGTATTAACTCGTTTCATCTGACTCCATAAAATGAAAGTGTTTTTCAATGATATCTGTGCATCTTTAAATATACGTTAATGTTTGACTATTCCTTTTAACTCCAATGAAAATAAAGTCAAAGTCTGTTAGAATAATCAAATATAACAATTTATTATGTCAGGTAAATGTATTATAACAATTCCATAATCAATTGAAAGCTAATCAATGCAAATCATCAAATGTTTTAGGATTAGAGAAATAGATGCAAACCCAACATTTACGAACTACATGAGCTAGTCCTCATGGGCTATCTGAAATACAGAAAAAGCCCCGACTCCTTGCTGCATCCCATTAAATAGCTAGAACTTCTTTTCAATGGTAATTTGCATTCAGGTTACACCTTGTTTTGGGGGTAGGGGAGAAAGGCCATTTGTCCACCTTTCTTTGTGTGCCAGTTTCTCTAAACTTCTAAAAAACCTTATTACCTTTTGTTTTACTTATTTGGAATGAGACATCTGAACCAGCCACCCTGAGACCTTTAAAATGATACTAAACACAATAATCATTCACATTAAACCATGTATATACATGTGTGCGTTTTTTAGTGTTACTGACTGAGAGAGAGAGGAAATGTAAATCAGGTGAGATTGCGTGAGGGGGAGGTCGAATGTTAATTTTCAGCAAGTTCCTTTGTTTCAATAGACCATGTGGTCAAGACAGTTTCTCCAACCAGTTTTCCAGTCTTACATAAGTACAGGTAAGTACAAATGTATAGTATTAGAAACAACAATGATAAATAACTGGATGTTTGTTTAAAACAAAGATGCAAAAAGTGCAATAAGTGCTATCTCCATTAAGGCCATTTTTAAATCATTTTGGTTGATTTTGCTGCATTTTGCCTGAATTTATCGTATCATTAATATTTAAAGCTATTACACTGATGAATCTATGCTGTCGACTTGTTAGTTGTCATACTGTTAGTTAGTGTTAGTTGTCAACTTGTTAGTGTTTGTATTATAGCACAGGAAGTAGAAACACTGACGTCTTCAGATTCCCAGAGTCTCTTTGGTCACCTGACATCCGAGCAGGACATTACCCACACACACACACTCGGACAGATCGCCCACTGAAACACACACACACACACACTCATATCATCAGTGTGTGTCAGAACTGCAGATATTTGCTCAAGCGTCTCTTGATGAACGCTGGCTGAGTGAATGTGGTCTGGAACGGAGATCTCACCTTTCTGAGAGCCGATCCATGACGCCGCCTTCATGGCCACAAACTGCCACTCGACCCGCTGGTCTATTTTACAGCCGTATAACCAGATCAGAGCCAGGAGAGTGGCCCATACTGACCCCTCCACCTGTGTACAAACCATCATACACTGCATTAGTTACTGGACACAGTCATCGCTGTCTGATTATTCATCACATCTCTCACCTGTGCTGGTTTCTGATTGGTCAGCTCCTCCTCCGTCTTCCCAAACGCATCAGCCAGTGTGACGTCCAGATCCCAGCAGCCTGACGCCTTTTGGAGAGAAACCAGCTGGAGTAACGGGTCTGCAGTTGTAGTTGCAGTTATATGTGCATTCAGTAACAAGTCTTTCTGGGGATCAGGAGCAGCTGAACACACAAAATGATATTGTTCATATTATGTGCATAAAGAATTTTTAAATAAATCAAATAAAATCGAATGAATTTTTATGACCTAGTACATTTGTCAAAATGTTAGGTATAAAACAGAGCACACGTGCAATATTGTATCATGCAATGTGTTCCATTCCATTTCCAGTGATGTGTGTGTGTGTGTGTGTGTGTGTGTGTGTGTGTGTGTGTGTGTGTGTGTGTGTGTGTGTGTGTGTGTGTGTGTGTGTGTGTGTGTGTGTGTGTGTGTGTGTGTGTGTGTGTGTGTGTGTGTGTGTGTGTGTGTGTGTGTACTGTATATACCATGACTTTGAGAGTTTGTCTGAACAGTCGGGGCGGCTGAAGACTCAGAACCACGGAGGAAGAAATTCCAAACCTCTGCAAATGACAAACAATGATCACTTACCATAAGGTGACGCTCCATTTTTGTTTCACATTTAGTGACACTGTGTATTCATGGTATTACTTGTCATAAATCCTTGTGCAGGTATGTTTCCAGCCACTGAAAAAAAAAAAAGAAGAACTTTTTACCCTCAAGTGAAGAACCAAAAAGCACTTTCCCATGAGTGCATTGGGGCTTTTACTTGTTGAAATGTCACGGTGAGAGATGACCTCCTGTATGCCTGACACACAACCTAAGGCTACGTTCACACTCCAGGCTGAAACGACCCAATTCCGATTTTTTTGCCCCTATGCGACCTGTATCTGATCTTTTCATGACAGTCTGAACGACACAGATCCGATCTTTTCAAATGCGACCCAGGCCACTTGGGTATGTGGTCCAAATCCGATATGTATCCGATCTTTTGAAATGCGACCTCAATCTGAACGGGCAGGTCACATGTATCCGACCCGCACGCCATTGATATGCGACAAACATCATAATTCTGCGTTGAAGTAGGCGGGAATGAGAAGATAAACAAGTTAGCTATCGTACGATAGCACGCACCTGTAGCTAGCCACTACACTCCAACGCGTTGCACTGTTATGGTCCGCCGCAGACGTGTCTCTTCCCGTGACAGAGTTAATCGAAGGTGCTCAAACATAATCGAAGGTGGATCTGGTCATTCGGAAGTTACTGATGAATTCTGTAGCGAAGCCACTCACATCAGTATCCCACCACTCCTGGCTGCGACTCCGCATCCACACAAATAACTTTAATATTGCTAAACGAGCTCCACTGTTGACATTCATGTTTAGCTACTTCCGCAAACAAGTGACGTCGTTGACCGTTGAGTACTCTTCTGCGCATGCGGGTCACTTCTGGGTCATTTCACACAGGAGATCAAAAAAGGTCGCATTTAATTGGAAATGTGAACGCCTTGCAAAAAAATAGATTTTTTTCAAAAAATTCGGATTTGAGCATTAAGCCCCTGCAGTGTGAACGCAGCGGGTAATTCGCGCCCAAAAAGAACAGACAACACACACAAATGTTTGATACATTATTAAATGATTGTTTAAATAAAATCGTAATTTTTATTTGGGGGGGGGGGGGGGGGGGGGGAGGCGGGGGGGAAAAGGTAAAAGAATTACCTTTTATTGTAAGTCCAAAACCGGAATCTGAAAAACATTTGATTTCTCATATTATTGAATATCAAAAATTAATTTGATGATAATAATATTTCTTTACCAAATTAAATCGTGACAAACAAATTCAGTCAAGTGTGGTTAAAGTTCAAGTTCAGTCAACTTTTCATTACATACATATAACAGTTTGAAATAGTCAAGTTACAGTAAAAGCGATTTATACACACACACACACAATAGCTGTTCCACTGCCACTTCCGGGGCTTGATTGGGTTTTTTGGCCCGGCGAATACCTTGGTCCAAAACGGGCCAACTGGGGCTTGAGGAGCGATCATGAATAAAGGCGGAGTTTATTTGAGACAGGAGACGGTCAACACCGCTGCTCATTTCCCATTTTATTATATCAGGCTACCAGCTAACTTCAACATTTAAGACAGTTTGAAATCTTTTCAGCTCAAAACTCACTTTCAGACACCAACGAGTGTTTGAAATGACTTCCTTACGATCTGATGGGGATTCATGCTTTATCTGTCTCTTCCCTGTGCCTTGTCGATACTGGAATAATATGTCTTAAATTACATTATACCACGGGCTGTTTAAATACTCGATTCTGATTGGCTGGAAGGTGTGCAGTAAAACCATTTAATGCACAGGTAGTTCCAGTCAGTTTGATTACAGTTCGAAATTAATCAGCTACTATAAACATTGGTAACCATAGTAACAGAGTTACACTTGCAAAAGAGTGAGAGAGAGACACATATGAAAACGTTAGGTAGGCTCAGAGCCATAGAGAGAGTTGCGACGCTCTTTGATCGCTCGCGATGGCTGTCACGTGGTTCATGTAAAACCCAATAGTTCCAAAACATACGCGGGCTGTCATGTTCTTCTATGGGACAGACAGCAGCGATTGCATTATTGACCGGTAAATATAAAATAAAACACACACCCAAGTACTTTTTCAGCTGTTACTGCATTATTGCATTTTGTTAATGTCAGTTATGCATTTGGAGAGGCAGGGTGACAACGAAATAGCCTACTACTGTATATTACTTAGATACGTTTTAGGCTTTTTTTTTTTTTTTTTTGAGGGAAAAGACAGAGCTAGATAAGATCGAAGACGACAAAGATGAGGTCAATACGAAAAAGACAACTAAATGGGCAGTTAACACTTTCAGTGACTTGTTGCGCCAAAGACAGAACAATTGTGATTTCGAGACCTAACGTTACTCTGCTTCTCTTTTAAATGAGACATTTCGGGAGTTTCGGGAGCCGGACGCGAATACAGTGCTGTTGCAAGTTTGATGCGTCTCAGAGCAGGTATAAACCGTCACATTACAAAATACAACATCATAAGGGATAAAGACTTCAAGTCAAGCAATGCCGTCTTTAAATCAGTTTTAAAGCGCTACAGGAAAAATGGAAAAGACACCAGCGTTCATCATCCGCGTAAGAAAAGTTTGGTTTGACATACAGCTAATTCATTTAAATAAATGACATGATTAGTTCAAATAAAGCTTGCCTTGTCACTGTCAGTGTTGCCTATCATTCATAAATAATTTTAATAAATCCATGAATCATTAAGTTATAGGCCTATGCTTAAGCAACGAGGGGACTGTAGACTTTAAAGAAGAGACGCTCATAGGTAACTCGCGCACGCATCTCTCTCTCTCTCTCTCTTTCAGTTCTCTGTCTCTCTCTCTCTCTCTTTCAGTTCTCTGTCTCTCTCTCTTAATAATGAATTTAAATAAATGTGACAATTCATTCAAATAAAAGCAATCCGATGGCTCTACTTTATTTAAAGCGGACGGAGTCCTAGAACTAACGAGCCGTAACTTAAGAAAATAACCGTAATTTTTACACGTCTGTTAAAAAATTACATTGTAAACATCAGTTACAGCTTTAACTTCTTATTAACTTGGCAAATAACCGAGGTATAAGCGGGATAATCCACGGCTAGCCATGCATTAAAGGATTTTAATGCACGACGTAGAGGCGAAGAACCACCCGACTTACTTCACTCCGGTAAACTCGTATAACTGATAACTCGTGTTTTCTTCTCGTAAAAGGATAAGAGTATAGTGAAACGGGAAAGACCGCTCGAACCTCGTCAGATCGCATCGTTTCGTGGACAATTGATAGAAATGCTCACTCTTTCTAAAGAAATGTGATGTAAAAACGTGATATTTTATCAATATTTTGAAAGCCTTTCGACTTAAAGCCATAAATAAATGAAAGCAGGTGCGTTTTATGTGAAATGGTAAACACCAGTTTGATGATGTGCACTCCTGACACAAATTAATAAATTACTGTCACGGTAACATTTTTTATTGCAAAACATGAAAATCTGACTTTCCCTGTAAGATTCCCTGGGGATTCAACCAAACCCAGAAAACGTGAGTGACACAACCCAGTAACTTTGTTTTGGTCAGCCTTTCTCTGCTAGCATGTCAAAAAAGAAGCCAATCAGATTTCGCTCCCCTTCTGATGTAGGAAGTGGATCTTGTTATAATATTACCAGCCCTTAATCTGCACGTTTACACCCACGCCGCCGCCATTTGGTTTTCAAAAGGACCAACAGTGTAAACAGTTCTAACGCAATGGCAAAAGTTCGAGCAAAGCATGCAAACTGTTCTGTTGTTGCTGCACAGACGACCACAGAACACGATTTGACCAAAAAAAGGTCACAGCTGTCTTATAAAAACCTCTGGGAACCGTGTCAACTTGTGTAAAAGTGACTCCACAAAAACTACATAAATGTATCCACTAACCATTCAGAAACTTCCAGGTGGGTCTAAAAGTTCAACCTCTTCTCTCTTTAAGGCTGCACTGCTACTGGTTATTTCTGAGATTGTGGATGAGTGAGATTCGCATATTGTGTTATTGCCGGAGTATCCGAAGCTCGTGTAAAGGATTGGCAGTCTTCTGGACGGGGGCGGGGAGCAGCAGCTCATTTGCATTTAAAGGGACACACGCGTGTTTCTGCTCACACCCATAAAGGGGCAAATTTGACAAGCTATAAAACATGATCTGGGGGTATTTTGAGCTGAAATTTCACAGACACATTCTGGGTACACAATGGTTTTATATTACATCTTGTGAAAAGGGACAAAATATATCACCTTTAAGCAAACGTTCACTTCTGTCATGCTAGTTTTAGTCAGCTGGTGAAAAGGTGGCATTGTGTAACGTTGTTCTATGGAGTTTGAATTTGAAGTTATTGAAAATATCAGAATTAACTGTGGTTCTCTCTGCATTTGTTTCTGTCTCAGGTTCTGTCGAATAAAGGGTGGGTTTTAGGGTGGTGCTGCGAGGCGACTGCCGACAATGGAAACGCAACATGATTTTGGGCTCAGTGCTTGAGGTCCAAGGCTACTGCCCCCAGCCAGAACATTGAAAAATGACTAATCGTCGCACTAACCGTATGTCGGCACTTTTCTCTGCAGCAGGGGTCCTTTCACAGTCTCTCTGCTGTCTTTATTAATGGCAATGAAGGCTGTATGAACACTGCTCACTCCTGCCTGAACACTGAGCTCCACTATCTTTCTCCTGACGCTTTCAACATCTGAATCACATGACCTCTCCTCCTGCTCCAGAGAACGGATCCGGGTCCGAGCCGCCAGCCGGTGGACGGACAACCTACAATTGCAAGATAGGCAAAAACTGTTTACTGCGGTTCATTATGGACTTAGAAAAGCAAATAGCAGATGCAATTAAATGGTATCAAATTGTCAGTAAATAAACTACTACACAAGTAAAAAAAAGTAACTTTGATAGGGATGCACTAATATCGATTCTGGCCAATACCAATAAGCCAATAATTATTTTAATTGTTATAGCTGAAAAACAATAATTGGCTGATATTTTAAAAAAACTTTAAAAGTTATATTATTGTGTCGAAAAATAAACAAAAACACTACATTGATAAATCAAATGAGGTATCACAATATATATTCTAATGGATTGTTGATTTTGTCAAGAAAAAAGTCTTAATTGTTTTTATTAAATAGAGGTGGGATTTATTTATTTATGATTTCATATTATTATTATTATATTGTGGCGTAAATGTATGTACTTGAAAACTAGCATGTCTTGCATGTAACATGTTACCCCAGCACCTGTTATAAATCTAGTCATTTAAAATGTGTTTTAGAGGCGAGTTGGTCTGAAGCAGGACTGGAGCTGTTTTCAGTGTTTGTGTGTGTTTGTGTGTGTTACCCAGTTTCCTCAGTTGGTTTGAGGCAGAAGTGGAGCTGTTTTTTTACTGGATGATCTTTAAGCCTGTATTTGACTGTCACTGTTCCCTCAGAGTCTCCTGAACTCTATAAGAGAGGGGAAATGCAGATTTCTATCATTTAAACAAATTAAGGTGTGTTTACACTAGTAGTTCGGTTCTCTTAGTCTGGACCTAAAAAGATAATTATAGATTTGGTCCTGATTCGCTTTGCGTTCATATTGTAATTTTTAAAACCGAACCTATAGATACAAAACAAAAGGTTTTTATGATGTATATTTTACAATGGAATTTACCGTAGATCCAAAACAATGCTGTGTTCAGGGATATATGCGCTCATTGTATATGTGTAGCCTACGAATGATAGTATTATTACCAACTGAGAACTCGTGAAGAGCTTATAAAGTGTGTAAAGGAGTCAAAACAGCAGCAGGAATCCCTCCGTCACACACACAAACGAGAGAACAGTTCTGATGCCTGTACTGAAACTGTGATGGGCAACATCGTGACTATGGTTTTGGTTTGTTTAGATGTCTTTGGTCCATGTTGCGTTCATATTTGAACCAGAATTTGTTTGGAAGCAGACTGAGACGGCCCTTTTCAGCGCTTGTTTGTTGAACACCAGGGTTCAGATGGCAGCGTTCACACCAGAGTTCGTTTAAAGCCAACCAAACCTGCCAGGTGTGAACACATCTTAATTCTCATCAAAGAAACACAAAATCATCCCACCTCTCCTTTAAGTTGGGCGTAAATGAGTGCCCTTTGACCCTGGAAGAGCACTTTGATGGGTTGAGACAGTGTGTCAACAGTAATGCCATCTGGAAGGGTCCAATCCACAGAGATATTAAACACAGGGGGCTGCAGCGCAAACCTGAGGGACTGCATCACCTGATATAGTTTGAAGAGAAAGAAAAAACCATTGAGACATTTGACTAGGAAACATTTGTGCCTGTGAAATCCAGTGGAGAGCTTTACTTTGGGCTGCATGCGGTCGGTGCCTGTGATGAACTGAGCGTGACCAGATCCTTCCCTGGCCATTCCTGTGATGAGGGCGCTACTTGCACCCTCACCAATCCCGAATGAGAAACACCTGAACACACAATAAACTCTGTTACCGTAAGTGATGAAGAGATGAATGATGGGAACATCAAACCCAGCAGACCTTTACCTGTGAGAGTGAACATGATGTTTCACCAGGTCCAGCACCTCTTTAGTGTTTCCCACCTCTCCATCAGTGAAGATGAACAGCTGAAGAGAGAAAAACATCTGATTCATAAGCCAAGTTTATATTTTAACACCAATGTCAATGAGTAGTTGAGGTGTTGTTGTACCTGTCTGGGATGGTCAGGGTTACAGCGCTGACTGTAGATGTGTTTTAGAGGCTGTAAAATCTCTGTGCCGCCCAGGTCTGCTTTCATTTCCTTCACACTCTTCATAGCCTGATCCATTGTGTCCTGACTGTACACGACACTCTCACTGCAGTGAAACACACACAGTCATCTACTCTCCTCTCACTTATCAAAATATCATTAGAATATTCTAAATGCAGTTACTAACTGGAAGAAGGACTCAAAACGAGAGCCAAATCCAAAGATATTGAAGTAGCATCCCATGGGCAGACTCTTCAACAGTAACAGCAGAGTGTCCTATAGACAGACATGGAAAGATAATGAAATAATTGTCTTAATAACTAGGCGGTATCAAATCAATCACCATTGAGTATTTCACTTCATCAGCAAAGCAACTCTGTTTCTCTGGTTAGAATGTGAGAGAGAAATTTGGCAGATGAGGTTAGCCTCACTTGGTATATCAACCAAACATGGTAGAGATTTAATTTGCATGATTTTAATTTAAACTGCTTCTGCTGATATTCTAGCAGCTAGAAAGAAATTTCATCACCAACAAATTTACCAAGCTACTACTTAGCTATTTTTTCTTAAAATTTTAAGTGAAATTTCTGTCTAAAAGTAAAAAACATCTGCCTACTCTATTTTAAAACCCATAGAGTTTGAGTACCGGAGTAACTGCTGCATTTCTGCTGTTACATACATCATTATCCTGAGATAGTGTATTACCAAATACTGGCACATGTCTCATATCAAAAGACCCAAAGGCACACTTAAATCTTACCCTTGCGCTTTCTATGCGCCTCTGTGCTCCTTTCCCATGATGCATCATCTGACGCATACTGCCTGATCTGTCCATCACGAAAACAAACTCTCCTTGAGTTGCCAGTGATGACATCACTTTCTCTGGGAATTCTGGGTACAAACTTATCATGACCACTGGGTCCCTCATCAGAGAGCCTGAAATAGAGAGAGAGAGAGAGAGAGAGAGAGAGAGAGAGAGAGAGAGAGAGAGAGAGAGAGAGAGAGAGAGAGAGAGAGAGAGAGAGAGAGAGAGAGAGAGAGAGAGAGAGAGAGAGAGAGAGAGAGAGAGAGAGAGAGAGAGAGAGAGAGAGAGAGAGAGAGAAACCTTGATCAATCAATCCCATAATGCCAGTGAGCTCAGCTGCAGGTCCGACCTGATGGGGCAGTGGCCACTCCTGCCTCCACTATAGCAGAGGGCTGATGGGTCTCCTGATAGTACAGAAACAGCTCAACATCCTTATCAAACATGTGACCAGGACTCAGATTCACCTACACACGTAAAAACACATGCATAACACTACTGTGCTCACACATCCAGATAAACACATGAAGACACACGCAGTACCATAGCCTGAGTGTGATCCGAGTGGAGGAACACTAGAGGATCCAGAGTGCAGTTGGACTCTAGTTTGGAGATGGGCTTTGGAGAGCTCACATGGACACTGAGTGTCAGCGTGTAGGGAACAGCTCCACATACTGATGAAATCTCTGAGACTATACCAGCTCCTGAACCTGACACACACACACACACACACACACACACAGAAAGTGTGTTAAAATCAGCTTGTCTCCGCTAATAAAGTGTGTGTAGCAGCTGCTGCACCTGCTGGTGTGTATCGGGGGTTGAGTACAGCCGGCAGACAGAAGCGCAGCGAGTGGTCGGCCTGCACATCGAGCTCGGTGACGTAGATGATGGTGACGGCAGCGTTCTGACCCGGCGACAGACACCCGACACTCAGTCCGAACACATCAGGACTCTCTGCGCTCTCTTCCAGCAGAAACGCCTGCTGACCCGAACTCACAGCATCATCATACCGATCCCTCGCCTGCAAAACACAATTTTTTTAAGTGGTGCAAAAAATATGCAAATGAATGTCCAGCAGACTTATATTTGGACTCACGGTTTCTCTTTCTTGCACCTCTGCCACAATCTCCTGCTCTCCGATCTTGGCACTGAAGTGGCAGACAGCAGCATCAGCGGGCAGAGGGAACACGAACAAGGCCTCCAGGGGGCGCTCTTCCTCATTCACATACAGCAGAGTGGAGGAGACTGTGGAGACATGATCCTGAACACGAACCTCCACTGAGATGCTCTTCAGAGGCACTGAGTCACACAAACCAACAGAACATCATCACAAATACAACAGAACATCCCAAATACACATCAAATTCAGCAGAACAACATCGCAAATAAACCTTTAAAGCAGAACATAAACCTCAAATAAAACAGAGCATCTCAAATACACCTAAAATACAGCAGAACATCATCACATCTCTCTGAGATAAATAAAGGGTTAATATATAGACTCCATCCCCATAAATAAAAGAATAAAGGTGAACGGGAACAAGTGATAACATGCCCCGCCAGCTGACATTGAAATATACTTGATAAAATAGAAAAACCTAAATTATTTTTTTTAATTTACGGTTATAAAGATAGTTTGCCGTTTCAAATTCAGATTTTTGCTATAAATCCGCAGTGCGCTGTTGTAGACATGTACATAATATGAAATGATTTATTATGTCTGAATTTGTGAAAGACTGAAATCTTGACCCGTTTGATTTGTGGTTGTATTTTTTTTCCACAGCAAAGCTTTTGTTAGCTTTTGAATCCACTAGCTTTTTGAATCCACTAGCTTTTTGAATCCACTAGCTTTTGAATCCACTAGCTTTTTGAATCCACTAGCTTTTTGAATAACGTTAGTCAGGATTCAGGAAAAATAGGCGTTATTCATTTTTATAATTTCCAATAAACACGCAGACCGCGTTAATACAAAAACGCCACATCAACATAAGTGTTAAGTTAGGACACATGTAACAGTAAAAGTAAACAAGTGACAGGGCTGCCAACTTTTGAGTTCAGCTTAGAGTGAGATTTTGGGGGGCGGGGCTTGGGTTATGGGGGAGGGGCTTATTGAGGGGCGTGGCTTGGTGTGGGGAAAAATACAAACACAAAATCCTTGCATTAGCAGAAGTGTATTAAGTATACACTCACCGACCACTTTATTAGGTACACCTGTCCAACTGCTCGTTAACACTTAATTTCTAAGCAGCCAATCACATGGCGGCAACTCAGTGCATTTAGGCATGTAGACATGGTCAAGACAATCTCCTGCAGTTCAAACCGAGCATCAGTATGGGGAAGAAAGTTGATTTGAGTGACTTTGAACGTGGCATGATTGTTGGTGCCAGAAGGGCTGGTCTGAGTATTTCAGAAACTGCTAATCTACTGGGATTTTCACGCACAACCATCTCTAGGGTTTACAGAGAATGGTCCGAAAAAGAAAAAACATCCAGTGAGCGGCAGTTCTGTGGGCGGAAATGCCTTGTTGATGCCAGAGGTCAGAGGAGAATGGCCAGACTGGTTCGAGCTGATAGAAGGGCAACAGTGACTGAAATAACCACTCGTTACAACCGAGGTATGCAGCAAAGCATTTGTGAAGCCACAACACGCACAACCTTGAGGCGGATGGGCTACAACAGCAGAAGACTCCACCGGGTACCACTCATCTCCACTACAAATAGGAAAAAGAGGCTACAATTTGCAAGAGCTCACCAAAATTGGACAGTTGAAGACTGGAAAAATGTTGCCTGGTCTGATGAGTCTCGATTTCTGTTGAGACATTCAGATGTTAGAGTCAGAATTTGGCGTAAACAGAATGAGAACATGGAACCATCATGCCTTGTTACCACTGTGCAGGCTGGTGGTGGTGGTGTAATGGTGTGAGGGATGTTTTCCTGGCACACTTTAGGCCCCTTAGTGCCAATTGGGCATCGTTTAAATGCCACGGCCTACCTGAGCATTGTTTCTGACCATGTCCATCCCTTTATGGCCACCATGTACCCATCCTCTGATGGCTACTTCCACCATGTCACAAAGCTCTAATCATTTCAAATTGGTTTCTTGAACATGACAATGAGTTCACTGTACTAAAATGGCCTCCACAGTCACCAGATCTCAACCCAATAGAGCATCTTTAGGATGTGGTGGAACGGGAGATTCGCATCATGGATGTGCAGCCGACAAATCTGCGGCAACTGTGTGATGCCATCATGTCAATATGGACCAAACTCCCTGAGGAATGCTTCCAGCACCTTGTTGAATCTATGCCACGAAGAATTGAGGCAGTTCTGAAGGCAAAAGGGGGTCCAACCCGTTACTAGCATGGGGTACCTAATAAAGTGGCCGGTGAGTGTATATTGATGGTCAAAGTATTTGGTATCTGACTGTACATAATTTCTTGGGAGATTTACATTACATTTAACATTTTAATTGACATTCTGTTCTTAGAAAACAATAATTAACATTAACTACTAGGCATGTCCATATTTGTCATCTCGAAATGCTTTTGTACTGTTTTTATGATAAAGTTATGTAAAATAACTGCTCAGTGCTGCAAAACAAACAACTCTGCTATTGCTAACTTAATTCTATATAAACTATATAACAGGCCTATTACCAGCCTAAACTGGATGGAGACAAGGAGCGCCCAGTAACTCACTGACCTGCCTGCGTTCACAATTCACACGGTGCAGATGGGAGGGAGAACGGCTGACTATACACAGTTTATGGGAATAAATTGTGTATTTCCCTCACAATTGTCACAAAAAACTGTCCACTGGGTTGTGTTGCGAAAGACACGCAAGCTCGCTTAATCACCTCTGTGTCGTCGTGCGCGTGCGCGGTTAGGAGCACGCCGTTAAGAGCTCAACACATCTGTCTCGCATGCACGCTCGCTCGCTATAGATTACAGGATATTTTAACTAATTTGCGGTAAAACTAGTCGATCACGAATGGCTCAACTGGTAGATCTATAAACTTATCTTTCAGGCATTTGACCGACCGGGTTGACACTTCAGCGTGAGAAATCGGGGGTGTGGAGTGAGAGCGTGAGAATTGGCTCAATTGCGTGAGTCTCACGGTGAATGCGTGAGAGTTGGCAGCCCTGAAGTGAATTCATACCCAGCTCGTTTTTCTCATTCACAAGACCGCAGTTCATCATTCTCACGGAACTGACGATTTTACTTCCAATGGAAAGTGAAACTAAAACAACGAACCTAATGCCTTCAAATCTTCACAGACCGACTTATGTATGAGTAAATCTAATGTTTTTGAACGTTTCTAAAGATGCCAAATGTCTGTCGGGGGTGTTAGACCAGTTCTTATTTGGTTCTGTAGTGTTCGTGGATGGGCCGAGACGACAGCGCCAGCCTGACAGTCTGAGGGCGGAAGTGGGCGCGGCAAGGCATTACGCTACTTCCGTGTTTTGGAATGTTTTAAAGTTTAAAACAACGTTATTTTAAAGACTTTTTTAAACGATTTAATTGAATATATATAAATCAAATTGTAGGTTATAAAAGATAAGAATTTTTTTGTCCTATAACAAAAGACAATATAGTAGCCTACTACATACCTGTCAACATTTGGTTTTCAAAATCCGGGAGATTTCTCCGGCGGGGGGGTGTTGTGGTAAATGTACAACTTGTAACGACTGGAAATAAGGTGTGGCCCCTTTCAGAGCTTTGCGCTCCCTGTTGAACTGTCGGCAGTCTGTATTGTGCGCGTCGAACACCCCTTTTACTGTCTATGCATGCGAACACCCCATGTATGTGGGTAATTTCTGTTTGATGCTAATTTTTATCTTATTTTGTTTATTAAGTAACGATGTGGACGGTAGAACGTGTGACAGGCAGTTAGGCTACACGAGTTCGATTTGGGAATAAAGTGCGAGTTGTGAGATGTCAATCGCCTCCGTGTGTCTGTCTGGCCTCTGCATGCAATAACTTCAGTTGTGAGCTACCCCTAATCTTCCTGAAGCAACGCGTTACAAACTGTACTTCAGTTTCATTGCGGGGACACCACCTTCACCTGCCATCATGTCTATCGGCTCGCTTTCGGGTTAAACTTTCCGCGACTGCGCAACTGGGTTATAGGTTGCCAGGTTGAGGTGACAAACGGGTTGAAATTGTAAATGGTCTGTGGATTGTGTGAATATAATGCATTTAATACAATCTGGCAACTGGTCAACATTAGCAAACATATTGAGTAGGGTATAAACGGAGGTCGGAGCCAGCTGCAAATGGGTGGGTTAGCAGCAAGTAGGTGGAGCTTTAGCCGCAAGTGGGCTGTACAAACTTCCAGAGGATTTTGATTGGTTTATTTAGTATCACCTGTGTGTTGTAGTAGCTATTGGTTTATGCTCCACAGTTGGTGGCGGTAATGTGTAAGTTTTGTTGCGATCCATTAGAAAACAAAGAAGAAAATGTCAGCGTTCACATGTCAGCGTGCCGTTGAGATGAAGGGGTAAGCTTGTTGTACAGTTTTTAGTTTTGTAAAAAAGCATTATAAGTTCTGAAAAAGACCATTTCATTATGGCGTTTGTACACTGTTTAGTCTTGATGTTTTAAAAAAGAATAAGGGTAAAGTGTATCCAAATAAATTTCTGTAGTTTTTATAGTAGCACACAAATTACAAAATCTGTAACGTGCATGATTTCTACAATTTGCTCTCCAGATTATGGATTCTGAAGACCATAATAAGGTATTGTGGCAGTGTAATTTTTGTACGTTTTAGGACTGCATTGATTTTCAAATTGTAAATGTCTTAAACGTTTTGTAAATGGATTTGATATTAGAATACAACTCCTAACTTAATTGTACAATGCATGCAATTCTTTTAAAACTTGTTATCATTGTAGTTATGCTTTTTTCTCTGTAATCCACAATGTAATGTAATGTAATTGAAACATTTGTTTTAATATCATAATTATTTTATAAAATGTATTACTCATATCAATCAGTGAATAAAATGTGAAACGCATCTTATTGTGTTTTAGGTTCACTTATCAGTGAAAGATGTGCAGGACACTCTTGAGGCATACCAGTGGCACCAGAGGCACACACAGTTTCACTGTCCGCTTTGTCCTAAGGACAATATAAAATTTGATGAGAACTTCCAGGCAACAGGTCACCTTCAGTCCCATTTATCTTGAGTGGTAGTACATGGGTGTAAGTTGACCAAAATATTATTGTTATATTCACTATGAATAGGAGATCGTATCCAATCGTAATCAATTGCTGTTACCCATTTAACTTTTTTTGTGTTTCTTTGCATATTATAGTATGCACTGTATGTTGTTCTGGGACAGAAGTTTGACTTCACTGAAGTAAGTATTAATTTTTTTGTAGCTACATGCATTTTAATATAATTGAAAATTATACTAATTCATTACTTTATGTACACAGCTAAACATGAAGAACATAAGAAAATGGTGGTGTGCCATCTTGCTTGAAAATTTCTTTTTAGAGTAAGTGTGAAAAAAATTAGCTGTACTTTTAACACGAAGTGTTTTTAAGAATCCCTTAAAGAAGTGAAGAAATCTTGTTCACTCTGTAAACTGTTTTGGGAAGTCATGGAACGGAATGATTTAGTGACTCGCTCATAACACTACTTTTACTTTCAGTAAAAATATATTCTGCAGACCCTTTGAGTGAAAAGGAGTAGCAAAGTGTTTCAGTGATGATGAAAATCAGCAGGTGTAAACACTACTTGCTCTATCAAACTCATTTAATATCTGTTCTTAATACTATTAGGGGTTGGCAAGATTTTGAAATGTTGTTGTATTCATTGGTGAATACGTTTTTTAAAAAAAATTATATTGGACCATTAATTAGATTAATGGTCTACTTGAAGACCATACTACTTGAAGTTGTTCTTCAAGAAGGAGATGCTGCCTACATGCCCCTGTCATTGGCTTGCTCAAGGTTCAGGGACATAGTTGGGGATGACAATTTCAAGAATCAGGCACACTTCTTATGGCTAGAATGTAAATATTGACATTAAAAAATAAAACGCATAACAAGAACATCATTGATAATGTTAAATGTTATGTTCATTTTTTTCAGCTCAGGTGTTGCATGCTGGAAAAATAAGTCATCTCACTACAAACAGCTCTTCTGGAGAATGTACTCAATCTCCACTTGTTTGGAGTGTGGGTTTGAGTACAAATGCTGCATACCTGGTACGTTTTGTGTAAATTGGTGATGAATAAACTAGTTGTTAGTCTAAAGGAAAACTAAAAATCTAATTTACTTATGTCATCCCTTGGAGTTAAAAAGTTCTGGACACCATTCACTTGCATGGCATGGAGCTACAGAGCTGATAAATTATTCGTAAATGTTCAATGTCAACTATAAACCCTATAGTTCTTATTGTGCTTCTTGTGTATCCACCAGGTTATGCTGGGAAGGGAAAGCAAGGCGAGCTCAAGGGCATTTATTCAGAAACCTTCCACCCTGGATTTTGCAGTTTTCACTGCATGCAGATCAGTTCTAATGAGCTGATATAGTGTACTTACAAATAACAAAAGAAAAAACTAAAAATAATAAAATAAAATAAACACTTTTGCAATCAATTCTGAGTGACTTGTACATGATTTTATTCATTGAAAAAAATAATTTATCCACCCTGAGATTTAAATGTAATACATGTGTAAAACGTTCAGAACAACATTATTCTGTTTTTTTTTTTTTATTATGCAGTAAAGATGGATGGTAACCTTTTTTTTTTTTTTTACATTAGCGAAATGTTTTTCATGTATTTACACATTCACTTCACTGAGTCCAATTGCATCACATTTTAATGTAAATTTACTTGATACTGTAGAATATGTAGCTAATATTCAGAAATATGCTTGAAATAAGGCCTACAGCCTGATGAATTTAAAACACCATCACTTTAAGTATGGTAAAAAGGTGTAAAGACGTGACTTCATCATTGACAGTGAGTGGTATTGGACACACACAATAATAACAAAGCTGTAAGAAATCAGACCATGATGAGGAACGTAATATTTGATCGTTTATTTTCATTACTGTCGCTACTTCCTGCCATTCTCATTCACCGCCGTCCTCGGCAATGACAGCTTGGGGATTTCCGCATAAGCTCCTCCCACTTGCGGCGTAAACTCCTCCTACTTGCACATTTGTGAAATCCCTCCTACTTGCGGCATAAGCTCCTCCCACTTGCGGCGTAAGCTCCTCCCACCTGCAGGTCTCCGGGCTGCAGCGATACATACATGGACATATTGGTCCGATTATTCATAAAGGAGTTTGGGCCATGCAAATTACGGGAGTTTCCCGGGAAAAATAACAAACCGGGAGGGGTCCGGGAGATAGGGCTAAAAAACGGGAGAAACCCGGGAAAAACGGGAGTGTTGACAGGTATGGCCTACTATTACAAATGTTAATAGTTTTTTAAAAGTTAAAATGATACTTTATCCATTTGTTTTGTTGAGTCAAAACTTTTGACTCAACAAAACAAATGGATAAAGTATCATTTTAACTTTTAAAAGATTAACAATATAAATTGAACAAAGCTTAAAAATTTAAAAAAAGAAAAGAAAAGGAAAAATAGAATGAAAACAAAGCTTTCATTTCAAATCATTTTTGTTTTTTCAGTCTGTCATATCATTGTTGTGTATGGTCTATGAAAAAATTGACCATACACAACAATGATATGACAGACTGAAAAAACAAAAATGATTAATTTAAATAAAATGAGTTTTTTCCTCTGATATCAAAAGATCGTTATGTGCTCATAGGTGAAATGAAATACAATTAATGCAATTCTCATGGTCAGAAAATTTAACAAATGCTGTAGCCTTCAATACAATATACGCCAACAACAAATTAAATCTCTGTAGATCTAGCACAAAATAGTGTCATAATTCAGCTTAAGTAAGTTCAGTGTTGATTCATTTCTGATGTAAAAAAGTTATTATTTCAGTTAATTAATCTATATAGCCATTCTGATGTCTTCGTCCAGCTCAGTTCAGTTCTCATATAATGGTTCTCATATTAGCCGCGTTTCCATTATACCCTTCAAATTGCGCAAATTGAAATTGCGAATTGAAAATAGCCTACGCACAATGGAAACACGTCCATTTCGCAAAAACTCTCGTTTATAGTAAACAAGTTTTTACGCTCGCATGAGGTGGTTTTT